TGGCCGAGACACCCCAAGGGTGTCTAAGCTTTTCCTAGACACCCCAGGGGTGTCCCAAGGCCCTAGGTGCCCTCATGCCTATAAATAGTGCCCTTATGCCTCACTTTTGGAGGATCTGGAGTTTTGGAGAAGAATAGGCGAAGCCCTGCTGCAGTGAAGAGTGATCGAGCGCTCCAACACCGCCGAGTTCTTCATCGGATCTTCATCACCCGCGTCCCTCCCTTAGCATTACCCCTCGTCGGTAATCCTAAGAAGAGCAAATATCTCGCTTTATCCGAGATAGGCGCTTCAAGCTTCTAGATCCCCTCGCGGATCGACGAGGCTCTGTCCGATTTTTCTGGGCCAGATCTGATTGCCAGGTAGTCCACGGATATCGACGTCCCCGTCACAGGCCAAAGACCCACGCAAGCATCGACGTCCCCGTCACAGGCCAAAGACCCACGCAAGCAAGAGACGACGAACGGATCTTGTGTTTATTTTCGAAAAGTTGTAATTTTTATTGAACGGATCTTGTGTTTATTTTCGAAAAGTTGTAATTTTTATTTTCGTTATTTGAATTTCATTTGTAACGTTTAAAGTTTTAATGAAATCAATGATGAAGGTAACTTTTTCCGAAAACTTTTGGATCATTTTCGAAAATTTTCGTTATTTGGATTTCCCTGGGGTTTTGGATCGTCGAATGTTAACTCGTGTGGATTTCGAATCATCGAACGTTGACTTTTGTTGCAACGCATTGAACGGCGTTGACCTAGGGTTACGCGTTGATCGGCGTTGACCTTAGGGTTTCGAATCGTCAAACGTTGACTAGTGGTCGCAACGCGTTGACCTGGGGTTACGCTTTGACCGGCGTTGACCCTAGGGTTTTGAATCATCCGTCGTTGATTAGTGTGGATTTCGTCGAAATATCCAACAACTGGCGAAAAAAGGCCAATTCGGACTTCAAAAAAAAGGTTCGGGGGTCAAAATTTGGTTAAGACACCCAAGGGGTGTCTCAACAAAACCGAGACACCATTGGGGTGTCTCGGTTTTGCCGAGACACCCTTGGGGTGTTTTGGCCAAAACCGTGGTCCCCCCATGGTCTCTTTCCATTTTTGTTTTCCCCCCCTCTTTGCTTTCTCTCTTGTTTTAAATTTGTTTCCCCTTTTGTTTTCCCCCTTCTTTTCAAAAGAGGATTCTTTCCCTCTTAAACATCTTCTTCTACCTCTATCCCTCCACCATTGTTTCATCTCTTTCAAGAACTCCAAACCCACACAAAACTTCGGATTTTGGGTGTTCTTCTCTTTGCCGAAGTTGATCTCTCCTCCAAGCTAGGGTTCCATCATCTTCAACCTCAAGGAAAGCTTCTTGATTTGGTAAGTTCCCCTCTCAAAACTTTCTCCTCCCTTTTGAAAAGATTATAGCTTTATGCTTGTAATAGGAGTATGCCAAGATCATGTCTTTTTGGTTCTCATGGGTTGGATTTCATGAAAAGATAGGCTCTTGATGATGGGTTGTGAGTATGAACCCAAAATTTGGGGGGTTTTATGCAAAATTACAATAGGGCCGAATTTTGGGGGACTTTTGTGCAAAAGTGGACTAAAATTTGTAGGGGCTTTCATGCAAAATGGGACTGAAATTTTGAGGCTTGGACTTTAGACCCATTTGACCACAACTTCGAGGGGTGTTTCATGCAAAAAGATCACAAATTGTTGAGGGTTTTATGTGCAAATATGGGCCGAATTCTTTTTGGGGGCTTATTTGCAAAATTGGCCGGAAAATTGAGGTGGTGTTCATGTAATAAAGGACTGAAGTTAGGACCTAGATTACATGCTCATTTGGTCAAAAGTTTGAGGGGTGCTTTATGCAAGAGGACCAAAAGTTGTTGGAGGGGTTTATTTGCAAAAATCAGCTAAATTTTACAAAAAGGGTCTATTTGCAAAATTAACCTAAATTGGGGGGTATTGGGGTGCTAGATGATCGAATGTGACGACCATGACCCAAAACGAATGTGCCCTTGACCCGAATTTAGCCTTGAACACGAGGGGTATTTTGGATATTTCACCAAAATTCACCGCAAAATGACAATCGTTGTTTAGCATGCACGAAATTTGTAGGTTTAATTAGACTTCAACTGTAAAATCCTATTTATTCATAGGACTTTAGTTCAAGTTCTTAATTTCCCTTTTATATTTCGTGTATTCATATTTTAGATTGTACCTGACTTGCTGCTTTCTTATTGCAGATTTTCGATGTCTCCACGTCGACCTCGACCTCATAGGAGTCGTTCTCATTCGCAGCACAGCGAGGAAGAGGTTCCCACAGCATCTTTTCCAGCGGCCTCTTTCTTTAGGGGTGAGAATTTATATTTTCTGTATCCCTGATTGACCTCTTCGCGGGTCGTGAAGGAAGAACCGACACCCTCCTTCGCGGGGGTTAAGGTTTCGGACTTGTTTTGCTTAGCCAATTCAAGTCTTCGGATATATTGGGGCGATCTCGTGTCGTCTTAAACCTTATAGGTCGGTGTGTGTTATCACGCTATCTACGTGATGATGCATACCGTTCTCCCGGTATAGGACACTCGAAATTGTCTCTCCAATCATTCCGTGAACGATTTCATCTCATTTCTTATGAGATAGATTTTCTAACTCTATCCTTGTGTTCTATTGCAGTAGAGTTTCCCACGTGCAGCCTTCCTCCTCATGCCAATACTGGTTGTAGTCGGGAGGTCTTCTCTTCAGCTTCCATCAGGCAGGCCATTAGTCCACTCCCTCAGTTTGACAGAGATCGCTCCGACGAATTCTGTCGTTTGATACGGGAAGGAGGGCGTCATTGCTTACGCCATCTTATTACGGATGCCTCCTTTACTGCGGATTCTACCTCTACTCAGGCTTTAAAGAAGCCTAGTTTCCTGTTCGGAGATCACATTGAGGATCCTGCTACGTTGACCCTTACCGAGGAACACTGGCTGACTCTCGACGAAGGAGCTCTCTTGTACATTCCCTCCATTCCTCGTCAATATTCTTTCACTCATTTGAGGGGACAAGCCGTGGGGCGACAGATGTCCTGGCACCTTACTAATGATGCTGAGGGAGTCCAGTGTGGATATGCCTCTCATCACAAGACTCCTGGTTCTAGCGGGTATCATCATATCCGTGGTCTTCGACCAGGGATCATGGGCCTTGACACTGCACCCCTGTAGGCATTGAAAATTGTCTATAGGTCTCCACGAACAGCTCAGTGTCAAAGAACGACGATGAACGTCACTATCCGATCCATAGGAGTTCGATTGACGTCGATGAACGATTGAAGTGAATCGACGAACTACTTGAGCTGATTTCGAAGGCACGGGCTAATCGGGAACCCTGCGATGTTTACAAAAGGAACAACGCCCTTCATATGCTGATTTCGAAGGCACGGGCTAATCGGGAACCCTGCGATGTTTACAAAAGGAACAACGCCCTTCATATCTCGTTCACTCTACAGATAA